CATAATGCTTTCATTTTTTGTTTTGATTGGCTTTACACTATTTTGCTTTCTTTGATTGTGTTGAGTATGAAGGACAACTATTTAAAAAAAAACAAGATATGCTGATTTCCTGTTGTCTTGTTGTGAAGTTCTGTGTTGCTTGCATTGTTCTGTTCTGATTTGCTTTGTTCTGTTTTATATTCTTTTTTTTAGAAAAAGGGCTGGGGATTTAGTTCAGTGGCTTAAGTGCCTGCCAGGCAAGCCCGAGTCTGTAAGTTCAATCACACACACACACACACACACACACACACACACACACAGAGAGAGAGAGAGAGAGAGAGAGAGAGAGAGAGAGAGAGAAATGAAATGGGGAGACCATAGTGGAGACTGCTGAAATCTGGAAGATTATCAGCAACTACTTTGAGAACCTGTACCATAATAAATTGATGAATTCAGAAGAAATACATAGATTCTTAGATACACATTACGTACAAAAGGTGGACCAAGGTTACATAAAATCCCTTGAAATCAATTTAGGCAGGGAGATTGAATTAAAAAAAAAAACTACCAAGGAAAGCCCCAATTCCAATGGATTCACTTTCAAATACTATAGAAGCTTTAGGAAATATCTAACATGAATAATACTCCCCTGTTTAATGAAATTGAAAAAGAAGGAATACTCTAAAGGTTATTCCTTGAAGGCAGTATCATCTGATTCCAAAACCAGAAATGACTCCACTAAAAAATAGAACTTTACATCAATTCCTTGATACAAAAATCTTCAACAAATACTGGCAACAGCATGCCAGAAATAATAAAAAAATCATACATCACAATCAAGTACAATTTATCTCAGATATCCAAGGATGGTTGAAAATATACAAATCAATAAATCGAATACATTGCATAAAGAAAACCAAGGGAAAAATCACATAATAATCCCAACTGACCCAGTAAGACATTGATAAAATCCAGCATCCATTCATGATAAAAGCCCTGAAGAAAGTAGGCATAGAAGGACTTTATTTCCATCTTATAAAAACTATTTATGAAAAAAATAAAGGCTGACATATTATTAAATGTTGGAGGAATGCTAAAAACTTTTGTTCTAAAATCAGGAACATGACCTTGATATCTGGTGTCATCACTAGAAGTCAATAGAGTTCTCAAAACATTACCCAGAACAAGTAATCAAGAAAAACAAATAAAAGGAATATGGATAGGGAAGTAAGAAATCAAGTTGCCATTATTTGCAGATGTTATGACCCCTTACATAACAGATCCAAAAAATTCCATTGGAAGACTCCTAGAAATAATAACAAACTTCAGTATAATAGTAGCATACAATGTCAACACACAAAAATGAATGATGTTTCTGTACACTAATAATAATCTCACCAAGAAAGTGATTAGGTGAACAATACCTTTCACAATCATATCAAGAAAATTAAATACCTAGGAACCAAGAAAATTAAATAGGAAAAATAACGAAATTATTATTCTCCTTAGGAAAATAAGGAGAGATCTCTATAATGAAAACTACAGTACTCAGAAAAAACAGTTCAAAGAAGACATTTGAAAACAGAGATATATGCCTTATATTGGATAGGCAGAATCAATATAGTCATATGGTCATACTTCTAAAGCTGATATATATATATATATATGGCAACCCCAATAAAAATATCAACCACATTCTTCAGAAAGATAGAGACAACAATCTTAAAATTCATATGGAACTGTAAGGGACATAGAATGTCAAAAGTAATCCTAAGAAAAGTCAGGAGGAGCTATCAAAATGGAACAAAGATCTTAATATCAAAACAGAAACACTTAACCTGCTGAAAGATAAAATAGGTACAACTTTTGAAGAAACAGGTGTAGGTAAGGACTTCCTGAGCACAGATGACACCAAGAACCAACAAATGTGATTGTATTTAATTAAAAGGCTTCCACACTGCAAAGGAAACAACCAACAGTGTGAAGAGACAACCATAGGGTGGAAAAAGATTGCCAGTTATTATTCCTCAGACAGTGGCAAATATCTAAAAAATATTTTAAAAATTTTAAAGGATATATTAGAATATATATTCTAAGCCCTTCCAGGGGGAGAACCAGCAGCAGCTCCTGAGATCCGCGCCACGTTGGAATTTAGGATGCTGGGAAGGTAAGCAAGCGCCTCCCCTCCCTGGTAAGCAGTGGTGGTGTGAAAAAAAAAAAAAAGAATACATATTCTAAAATGTTAGAATATGTAAAAAAAAAGTTAGACACTCCAAAACAAAAGAAAATGAAAAATGGGCAGCTAAAATGAGAAAGACATTTCTCAGGAAAAGAAATACAAGTAGATGATAAGTATATGAAAAATATTCAAGATCTCTAATAGAAAAATGCAGATTGAAGCAACACTGAATTTCCAACTTACTTCAGAAATAATGACCATAATCAAGACATCAGATAACAACAAATGGTAGGGAGGCTGTGGGGGAAACAGGAACCCTTGTTCATTGTTGGTGGGACTGTAAACCAGGATAACCATTTTGCAATCCTTAAAAATTTAAAAATAGATATTTATTTTGGCTCAGCTTTTTCCTTTTTATGCACCTTGCTTAAAGAGTTAAAGACATGATTTACAGTGATACAGGTACATCCATGTTCATAAATCTTCAAAGCAGCCTGTAAGTTCATCAACATCACAGTGGGTAGAGAATATGTGATGTTCATATACAGTAGAGTACTACTCTGAAAGAGAAAAGAATACACTCGATTTACTTGTAGGAAAATGAGACCATAATGTTAATTGAAAGAAATGACACCACAAACTGAAATAATATATGGTTTCTTTATATATGAGAAACCCCAGTACAAATAAAAAGAAGAATAAAAGATAGATAATGAGGGGGAAATAGATGGAGCAATAGGGGAGGGGGATTGCAGTCAATGAGAGGGAAAGTAGAGGAAGGAGGTGTAAAAAGAATTAAGATGCATTATTTACACATTCCAATTTGTTGCAAGGAATGTAGTCATTATGTACTACACACATGTAATAGTAAAAAATTAAATTAGCTCGGGCTATGTAGCTCAGTGGTCGAGCATACAAGAATGAAAGCTGTAGGAGTCATCTGAGCAACTTTGCTTAAATACCGAATAACTGCTGCAACATTAATCTTATTTCCATATACTGATATGTACAGAGAGGGCTATACTAGTCCCTCCTCTCTTCAATTGGTGGTCAACAATGAAAATAAGGCCAGCTGAAGTACTGATATGTAATCTTTGGAGCCATTCTGGCAGTCTTCTGTTTCCTTGAATAGCACTCTTTGTAAAAGACCTGAGCACAGAGGAATGACAGAGCCAATCAGTGCCAGGAATGTCAACTGGGTACAAGTCTCACAATAAAGAGGCTATGAATCCCCAAGGCACAGAAGTTTACATATCAGATACTGAAGCAACAGCCTCCAAAAACAATTCAAATGCTACCTTAATTGAATTATGCAGACTGATCCTTCTGCATGTCCTTTGCCCCGCATTTTGCAAAGATGCTCTTCTCCCTGCCTGGTTAGCCAGCTCAAGTTACTCACGTAATTCCCACCATCCTTGGTGTCACTTATTCCCAAGCCACCCCCTCTGGACAAGATAACAAATTCTGGGAGAGGTCTTGGATCAAGACGTATGTTTAGCATATCCTCAGCTGGATCCGGCATAAGACCCTTTGGCTGCCTTTAGCTTTGAATATGTCTTGGTGTCTTTACTCTGCCATGGGTTGCTTTGGAGATGGTAGATTGGAATTGCCAGCATTCCAATAATGTTTCAATGGGATTACGAATATAACTTTCGAAATTCTAGGAAAGTTGGAAAAAGTATTACAATACTTGGGTTACAATATTCATTATTTGGGATACAATAGAAAGCCTGGTTTTTAACCCTGCACACAAAAAATATTAGCGAATTTGTTTACTTGTCCATTGCCTGTCTCTCCTGTTGGAAAGGAGGCCTGTGGCAGCCAACAACTAAGTGCTTTCAAAGGCACAGTCTCAGACATTACCTTAACTCCCTAAGCTAAGACTGCAGCCCTGGGGCCCTTCTCCAACCCTTCTTCCCTGCTCATTGTCTGTTAGTTTGTAAGGACTGGCATAACTAGGTGTCACAGACTGGGAGGCTGAATCACAAAAATGGATTGTTTCGCGCTTCGAGAGACTTGATCCATGTCTGGAGTCGAAGTCTCGCAGAACCAGGCTTTATACGAAGTTTCTACGAGAGGCTCTTTCCTCATGTCTTTCAGCTTCTGGTGCTTGGTAGCAATCCTTGGAGTTTCCTGACTCACAGCTGCTACGTTTTCATCTCTGCCTTGCTTGTCCCATGGCCTTTGCATTTTGGTAACGGTGTCCTTGCTTTTGAAAGGACACCAGTCATAGCGCATCAAGTATCTGCCTCTTTCCAGTATGAACTCAACCAATAATACCGGCAATGAGCCTATTTCTAAAAATGTTACTATTATTATTATCGTCATATTTTTTTGGCAGTGCTGGGATGGAACCAGGTGCTGCATGCATGCCAGGCAAGTACTCTACCACTGAACCACATCCCTGATGCAAAAATAGTTACATTCTGAAGTAATGGGAAATGGGGCTTCCACACGTTTTTGGATGGAGAAAGGGGACAGAATTCAACACACAGCACTTCTCTACAGCCAGTCCTCCACACATTTGACCGAGTGAACTTTCACAAAGTACACTGTCGGCCAGCACAAACAGCAAAGCGAAATGGATGGGTCAGTGAGCCCACAAACAAACAAGGCCTAAATGGGAATGAACCCACAAAGAAGGGAGGAGGGGGTGTGATGTGCTGCCGCCCGGCTCCAGCAGGTGGCGCTGCAGGCGGTGGGCGCGAGCGGAAAGGCGGCGGCACCGCTCTTGGCCTGCGCGCTGGAGGCGGCGCGGACGCAGCGCGGGCCTGTGAGCCGCCGGTTTCCGGTCTGTGGCCGCCCCCGCCCCGCCTTTGTCCGCTCACGAGAGCCGTTCGGGGTCCGACGGAGGCTCCCCGCTGGCAGGCCGGCTCGCCCGCCCTCCGCGCGTCCTCTCGGGCCAGCGCGCGTCCCCGCCTGCTGGACGGTCCGGGCGGCGGGCTGCTGAGCGCGGGCGGGACCGCCTTCCTCGGCGTCCTCGCGGTGAGCTCCCGCCGGCGCCCGCCGCGGCTCTGCAGCTGGGGAGTCCGCCCTGCGCCCCGCTCCAGGCCGGCTTCGCTCCAGGCCGGCGGCGCGGCGCTGGCGGGGGTGTTGCAGGTCCCAGGTCAGCGCTGAAGGGTTAATCCCATTTAGCCCTAGAGGGCCGTGCCTTTAGTGCGGTAGACGCTTGGGAAGGGTCCCATTTTCAGGGCGTGCGTGCGGGTGATTGTGGTTTCCGTCCTCTGTGCTTTTGGGGGCGGCAGAATGGTTAAATCCGCCTGTCACGTTCCCTAAGGGTGAGACTGTTGGAGAAAGCAACGGAAGGAAGAGCCTCTCTCAAGTTGCCACCCAGCCTGAGAGCCCCCTGAGAAAGCAGGAGACCTATGTGGGCGCCTTCCTGAGTGCTGTGGGCCGCTTTGTTCAGTGGAATGAGCTGGAATAGTCCAGGATCTTGTGTGCCAAGAGGAGTTCGTTGCCACACCTCTTAGTGTATAGTAAGTAGCCACCTTTACTGAAGATCACCGGACCTTAGCTGCAGGAGCAGGCAAAAGGAGAAAGGGCCCAGACCCTTGATAACTTACTTCCAGTGTTTAAAAGACTCTAGGTACCTACCCTTGCACCTCTCTGGTATCAGTAATCTGCAGCCTCAAGCATGGAGACCTAGGCTTCTGTTATTTCTTCTTGTACCTCTTTTGAGGAAAGAGATAATCTTTAAGGTGGTGTTTAAAGTTGAATGGAAGGAAGAGAGTGGCTCACTTACCTCCTTTGTTTCCAAATGTACTAGCTTTACCCCTCTTCTGTCAGAGACAAAAGACAAAGCTGATTGCTTGTGACTCTTAGTCCTTACTGTAATGGAGCAACTAGTGTAAGAAGTGGAGAAGAAGAGATTAGCCGAAATCCAAACTTATGTTGAAGAATGTTGCATGTAAGTACAGTATTAAGAAAAATGCCTAGTTGTGTGGTTTCTTTTGTGATATTTATCGTGAAATGACCATCTTTTGTACAGGTGTATATGAGTGCCTGTAAAATTACAAGGAAACACAGACTTTTAGGGGATGTACTCATGTTAGAGCTTTTATATGATATGGAAGCTGGGCATGATGGCTCATGCTTGTAATCTCAGCACTCAGGAGGTTGAGGCAAGAGGATCACTGAGAGTTCAATGCCAGCATGCGCTATATAGTGCATTCAAGGATAACCAAAAGTACATAGTAAGACTGCATCACACAAAAAGAAGAACAAAGCAAAAGGAACATTCATATGGAAATTTTGCACAATCCAGGCTTCTAGGTGCATCTGGACCCTGTGGAACTCGAGTCTATAATGCTGGGTGTTAGAATAAAAGAAAGATTGTATTTGATACTTTTGGCTGACAGAATTAGCCTTTAGAAACTGGATGGGATGGGGAAGCAAAGGTACAGAACCAAAACAAAAATTAATAACTTGGCCTTGAAAGAAGACAGAATCTTATGAATACTGCATAAACACAATGGCATGGACTCTGTTTACAGTACATCACTGCCAGTCTTACCTGTACCAGAACAGGAAGTTGTAGCTCCAAGGGAGGAAGAAAGTTTGAGGGGAATTGTTCTTGAAGTCCTGCTTCATTCTCCCCTTTGATGTTTTCCATAATAAATTTTAGTAGAACACATCACTGTCGTTAGCATTTATCTTGTTATGGGGGTTAGGGGGTTGGCTCCATATTGGGCAGAGAGAGACTTAGAACAAAAAGGGAAAAGGACTTACGTTGTCATTGTATCCTGATGTAGATCCTGAAACTTTGACCTGGTGTGGACTGGTCATGTTCAGGAGTGACCACAGGCAGGTTGTTGTTCCCTCAAGCTTCAGCTGTGCATAGACTGGTCAGCTTCCAGGGTGACTAGGGCAGCACTATTGTCTCTGGCCTGATGTCCTCACAGAATGAGCTGGTTCAGGTGGTCTGGATCCAGTTGGCTGGTCTGTGGTAGATCTAAAACACAGTTTCTGAAACTCTAATGGCAGTAGAACCAGACTAGATTATAGTATGAGCCTATCCCTTATGAGCTCAAGTTATTGGATATTATTTTTTTAACCAAACAATGTCCCCAGATTTGACTGGGTATATTGAGTATGTCAGGCTCATAGACATTTTTGGTATACTGAATGCTGAATATTCTGTATAAGTATCTCTTAAGTCTGTTTCAGAGACAATTTTTGTAGTTTTTAGAGATCATTTTTAGTATGAACTCTGATTCGGGGTCACCAACCAAAGGCTTAGAAGGGCAAAATCCCATTGGTTTAGTGGGATGCATCAGATATAGAGGAGGCACATGGGCAGGACTTGGTCTTATCTTAACTGGGTTTCTTGGCAATATGTTTTGAGTTTACGTGTTTCACTTTTTCTGATCTCTGTGTTCTCTAGGATGTGTGAAACTTTTGTTTTATCTTTACCATTATTTTATCTTTAATGTGGTGAGCTCCTAGACTAACTCTGCTAAAAATGTGGGTTCATTGTCTTGAGATGGTATCTCTTTATTTTTTTAAAGAAAAAAGTCAGAAAAGAAAAATGAAAAGCAAAAGAGATAACAACAACAAACCCAAAACAATAACAATATAGGTTTTCAAAACAGAATGAAAGAAGTTTAAGAATGGTTGTTATATTGCATAATAGTAGTTCTATTTTTTTCAAAGAAAGAAAAGAAAATTAAAAAAAGGTAGAATAATACTGAATTCAAAAAAATTAACATAAAATCGCTCGTTGATACATCACTCATTGTTGTCTTAAAAAATAGTTGCCAAAGTTAAAAAAAAAAAATAGTTGCCAAAGTTACAAAATCAAAGCAAAAAAGTGACTACACACTCAAACATTGGCAGTGCAAACCCTTCTGTTCAATGATCCAACAGAAATTAAGTAATATGGTCATCTATCTTAAACACTCTACATACCATTATACCCTTTAGAGCACTTTCCTTCCCTATCACTTTCACAATATCTATTATACTTTTTGGATCCCGCTATTGTGTCAGTTTTTATTATTTTTTATGCTAGAGAGACAATGTGGTATCAGTAAATATTTATTTTCCTAATGAGTCTTATTTATTTCATTAATGATATCCTTAAATTGCCTCCATTTAGCTATGAAGGCCTCAAGATCATCCTTTTTATAGCTGAGTAGTATTCCATTATATAGAAATACCATGTTTTTTTCATCCATTCTGCGGTTGATGGGCATTTTGGTTGTTTCCAAAATTTAGCTAACACAAATTGTGCTGCTGTGAATATAGGTGCACATTTATCTCTGTGACATGGCATTTTCAATTCAATTTTCAATTTTCCTGGTAAATACGTAGGAGGGGAATAGCTAGATTGAATAGAACTTCCAATCCTAGTTTTTTGAGGAATCTCCATATTGATTTCCACAGTAGTTGCACCAGTCTGCAATCCCACCAACAGTGGAGAAGTGTTTCTTTTTCCTCACATTCTTGCCAATATTTGTTATCAGTTGTTTTCTTGATGGCAGCCATTCTTTCCAGGATAAGAAGAAATCTCAATGCTGTTTTAATTTACATTTCTCAAATGGCCAATGATGGTGAACATTTCTTCATGTATTTATTTGCCATTTGTATATCTTCATCTGAGAACTGTGTGTTCATTTCCAATGCCCATTTTTGGAGAGGGTCTTTGAATTTGGGGAGTTTGATGTTTTTCAGTTCTTTATATGTTCTGGATATAAGTCTGAGAGCTTGTTGGCTAAAATTCTTATCCATTCTCTGGGTTTTCTTTTCACTTTGTTGGTGATTTCTTTTTTTTTTTTTTTTTAAATTTTATTTAAGGAGAAAAAAAAAGCAGAGAAAGGGTACAAGTTATACAGATTTACAGAAAAAATAAACAGTAGGAAATCACTAGTTAATGGATTACATATTGTCATCTTAGAAATAATTGTTCAAGTTACAAAATTAAAGCTTATAAAGTGGACATTCCAACAGTGAGACTGCAAACAGTTCTGTTCAATGATCCAACAAAACTCAGTAATATCATTATATATCTTATACACGTAAATATACATGCAGTTATAGCATTTAGAGCACTTTCTTTTCCTCTCTTTTGCACAATGACAATTACACATTTTGGGTTTTGTTGCTCGCACAGTTCTTATTACTTTTTTGGAAGAGAGTAGAACCAAATGTGACATAACAGAATAGTCAGTCAAATCAAAAGGTTGGACATAATAGATAATGTAAAATCATAATACTACGTGATCAACAATGGTTACCATAATGCCTCCCGCTATCTCTAATAGAATTGCCTATATCATTAGTTATAATAAAATTTGAACAAAACAGTAAAGAACAAAACCAAAACATTGGAGACATTATAGGTCTTCAAAAGTAGATAATAGTCAACCAGAATGGGCATCATAATGAATCCCACTATCTTCACAGCTGTTGCCTAAACTTTAGAACCTGGTACTATCAAGCGAAACAGAATAGAGGAACATCAGTCAAATCAAGATGGTGAGAGCAATACAGGGCTTTAAATCAAGATAATGGAAAGTCAAAGTGGGTTACTATAATATATCCTGCTATTTTTAAATTTATTTTTCCCTTAAAAGGATAAAAAAAGTAAATAATAAAATGGAGATTGAGATAAAAGAAGGTATAACAGCAAATCAGCGCAGATCAAAACATAACAATTTAAGCAAAATAGTGTTTCACCACAATATTATCCCAACATAAAAGCAGATACCATATTGTCTCTTTCCTTGAAATCTTTGAGTATAACTTCATATACTGTAGCATCAAATATATCAAAACAATGTAAAACCATTTAAGAGAATGACAATATTACAGGGTATTTAGAATCAACTAACAGAAAATGAACAATGGTTTCTGTATAATCTCCTTGTCTATAAAAGGTTTTGCTTATACTATCATATGTAATAAAATCCAATAAGATACCACCTGTTTAGACGAATGGAGACAGAAGAACAAAAGCTTGATGAGACTTCAAAACAAGATGATACTAAATCAGTATTACCTCTTAAGACGTCATTTTCTCCAAAATAGCTGTTCCTATCATCCAGTCTTCTCTGCCTCATTTCTGTTGAGCTCTTTTTCTGTCATTAGTTGTCAGTTTGTCTTCTTCATTTTGTTTTCTGCTCCATTCATTGTGGCCTCTCTGCCACTACTTCTGGATTCTTCGTATTTTTCTTTTTTAGAATATCTTGCAGTATTCTCTGTAGAGTTGAATTGGTGGTTGCATATTCCCCTAGTTCCTCTTTGTCCTGGAAGCACCTTGTTTTTCCATCAATTTCCAGGGATAGTTGTGCGGGATATATCAATCTTGGCTGGAGATTATTATCTTTCAAAGCTTGAATTATTTCCCCCCACGCTCTTCGTGATTCGATGGTTTGTGCCGAGAAGTCTGCTGTAATTCTGATGGGTGTTCCCTTGTAAGTGATTTGTTTCTTGTCTCTGACGGCTTTTAGTATTCTGTTCTTGTATTTGATTTCTGGAATTTTAATTATTATATGCCTGGGTGTTGCTCTGTTTGGGTTGTAGGTGGCTGGGGTCCTGTATGCTTCATACAACTGAGTATCTTTACCTTTTGCTAAATTAGGAAAATTCTCCTGGATTATTTCTGTGAGTAGCTTTTGTAGTTCATTTGTTTGTGTCCCTACTTCTTTTATGTTCTTAATTCTTAAGTTATAGGCCCTCTTATCATCTTCTAGTCTTTGTATTATTGCTGTTTGTTTCTTTGTTATTTTTAAGAAGTTTTTCATTTCATGCTCCCATATTACAAATCTGCCCTCCAGTTCAGATAATCTGTCCTTAGTTTCTTTCAAGCTGTTATGCCAGTTTTCGATACACTTTTTAGTTTTCTGGTAGTCTCTTTGAACCTGCTTCACATATTCTATGCTTTCTCTATTTTCTCCATTAAACAATTCTCCCCTCTTTTTCTGTTCTTCCATTCCACTATCTGTTTTTTCTTGGGTGGTGCTTAGCATTTCTCTAACTATTCTGCTTATGTCTAGCTTCAGATCATTAATAACTTCATTCCTGAACTTGTCTATTAGGCTCTCGAGATAGCACTTTATGTCTATTGGTGCTGTGTCTGCTGTTGTCTCTTTCTCAGGATTGGGGGCCGAGGACCCTTTCTTGTTGCTGCCTCGTCCCATATTCTTTGTTCCTTATATATGCAAGCGTATATAGGAGGCCCAGCTTCCTTCCCTGTCAGTCACAGTGTGATTGAATTGCGCCGGCTAGGTGTTCCCACCCACTGCAGCACACCAGGAAGTTGCAGACCAGGCAGCCTATGCGGGGCTCACCCCTCCAGGTCAATCTACCTTCAGGAGCTGGGACCTGGGCTGTGTTAGCCTACTGGGTCTCAGCCAGCAGTGTCACGTGGGCTACGCACTGCTCACCAATCCCGTTTGAGAGGGGGATACGTGACTGATGTCACTGCAGCGCCCTGTTCCTGCAAGTCTGCCCGGTCCCAGAATGTCCTCTGTTGGAGTCTCCTAGACTGTGGAAGAATCCCAGTTTTCCCTCACTCACCGGAGATGGATGCATGGCTGTCCGCCCGTCCTGCTCTCAACTCTGTTCACCGATTCCCGTTCTCAGAGCTTCCGTATGTCTCTCTCCCTGCGGAGCTGATGCAGACGCAGCGGCGGCGGTGAGAAACCCAAATCGCGTCTTCCAATGGTGCGGGCTCCAGCTTCCATGCTGAGGCTTTATCTGTTCCTGTTATAGCACCAGGATTGCATTCCCAGTTGGTTTCTCTCAGCCCAGTTTGTTCTTGGGTCACCGGGGCATATCTCCTTTTGCTTATGATTCCTTACTCAGCACCGTTCCTGAATTCTAAGCTGGGTGTTTCAGAGAGCCTCCGTAGCTGCTGCTATCTGTCCACCATGTTCTCCCAGAAGCGGTGATTTCTTTTAAAGTGCAGAAACTTTTTAATAATATGAGGTCCCAGTTGTTGATTCTTGGAAGTATTTCCCATGCAGTTTGCATTTTGTTCATGAATTCTCTACCTACCTATATGTCTCAAGGTAGATAGATTTCTACCTACCTTGTCCTCCAGTGTATTTAGTGTTTTTATTTTAATATTTAGATCCTTGATCCATTTTGACTTTAAGTGTATGATGATAGGTATGGGTCTAGTTTCAGTCTTCAGCATGTGGGGAGCCAATTTTTCTAACACCATTTATTAAAGAGGCTATCCTTCCAGTGAACATGTTTAGCCCCTTTGTAAATGTCAGGTGGCTGGATGTCTTTGTAGTAGTGTTTTTGTCTTCTAATCTGTTCCATTGATCCTCAAATCTGTTTCTTTGCCAGTACCATGCTGATTTTATCACTATGGCTTTGTAGTATAGTTTCAAGTCAGGAACTGAAATGCCTTCTGTCTTGCCTTTGTTGCCCAGAATAGCTTTTGCTGTTCTAGGTTTCTTCTATTTCCAAATGAATTTTAGGAATATTTTCTCTAGATCTGTAACGTATGTTAGTGGCATTTTGATTGGGATTGCATTGAATCTGTGTAACAGTTTTGGGAGTATGGCCATTTTCATAATGTTGGTTCTTCCTAACCAAGAGTAAGGAAAATCCTTCCATTTTCTAATATCTTCTTCAATCTCCTTTTTTAGCATAGTATAATTTTCAGCATATAGATCTTTTATATTCTTGGTTAGGTTGGTTCCTAAGTATCTGATTTTTTTTTTAGATGTTATTGTGAAAGGCAATATTTCCATAATTTCTCTCTAGGTGAGTTTTTTGTTTGTGTACAGGAATGCTATAGATTTTTGAGTGTTGACTTTGTATACTGCTACACTGCTGAATTTGTTTTTTTGCCTCTAGTAGTCTTTTAATGGAGTTTTTGGATCTTCTTTATAGAGCATCATGTCTTCTGCAAATAATGATAATTTAAATTCTTCTTTTCCTATTTTTGTTCCTTTTATTTCTCCCTCTTGTCTGATTGCTCTGGCTAATATTTCTAGAACTATATTGAATAGGAGTGGTGATAGTGGACATCCTGATTTTAGAGTGAAGGCTTTCAGTTTTTTTCCATTTAGTATAATGTTGGCTGTTGGTTTCTCATAGATGGCCTTTATGATATTGAAGTAGGTACCATCTATTCCTAGTTTCTGGAGGGTTTTTATCATGAACAGCGGTTGGATTTTATCAAAAGCTTTTTCTGCATCTATTGAGATGATCGTGTGACTTTTATTTTTGGCTCTGCTGATGTGTATTACATTTATTGATTTGCATATATTGAGCCATCTGCATTCCTGGAATAAATCCCACTTGGTCATGGTGTATAATCTTCTGGATGATGTGCTGCATTCTATTTGCCAGTTTTTATTGAGAATCTTTGCATTATTGTTCATTATTAAGATTGGTCTATAGTTCTCCTTTTCAGTTGGGTCTTTCTCTGGTTTTCGTATCAGAGTGATACTTGCCTCTAAGAATGACTTAGGGAGGACTGCTTCTCTTTCAGTTTCATTAAAGAGCTTAAGGAGTATTGGCATTAAATTTTCTCTAAATTTCTTACAGAATTCAGTCATGAATCCATTAGAACCTGGGTTTTTTGTTATGAAGTTTTTAATCACGTTTTCGATTTCAGTAGCTGATACTGGGTTACTCAAAATTGTTACATCTTTTTGATTGAGCTTTGGTAGTTCATACATTTCTAAAATTGTCCATTTCCTCTGTGTTTTCCACCCTATGTGATTAAAAAATTTTAAAGTGTTCATTATTTTTTGAATTTCTATGGGATATGTAGTAATTTCCCTCTTTTCAGTCCTTATTGATGGATTTGAGTTTTTTCTTTCTTTTTCTTGATAAGATTGGCTAGAGGTTTATCAATTTTGTTTATTCTCTCAGAAGCCAGCTCTTTGATTCATTAATTCTTTGTATTGTCTTTTTGGTTTCAATTGCATTAATTTCTGCTCTAATCTTTACAGTTTCCTCTCTTCTATGACCTTTGGGTTTGACTTGCTCTTCCTTTTCTAGAAGCTTGAGATGTAGCATTAGGTTATTTATTTGTGCTCATTCCGTTTTCTTGATGTGACTATTTATTGCTATTTATTTACGTCTTAGGACTGCTTTCACTGTGTCCCATAGGTTACAGTATGTTGTATCTGCATTTTCATTGTATTGCATGTATTGTTTTATTTCTTCTTTGATTTCATCTGCCACCCATGGGTTGTTCGGAAGGTTGTTATTTAATTTCTGTATATTTATGCAAGTTTTACAGGGGATTTTGGTCATTGATTTCCGATTTTAGTGTGCTATGATCAGATATTATGCATGGGATAATTTTGCTCCCTTTGCATTTAGTTAAGAATGCTTTATGGGTTAATATATGGAGTATTTTTGAGAATGTTGCATGTGGGCAGGAAAAAATGGCAGCTTGATAGGAAGCTGAATAGAGACCTCTGCAGGCAAAACAGCTCAGATGCTAGAATTTGACAACATGGAAAGGGCCAGATGATTGGAGAATGATTCTTATTAATAAAATTAGGAAGAGGAAGGAAAAGCATGGGTATAGGGCTGAAGCCTGACAGGCTCACTGAGACCTGTTCCGTGCTGTGCTGGGCGCCCTAGAGTCAGACAATCCAAAGTCGTGCTAAAGCAGCAGCTGCCGATAACGGGAGTTGATGAGTCCCAGGCCCTTGACAGGAGGACGCAGCACAGTGTGAAGTGGAACCAAGGTCGAGAACTTTATTGGCTCTCGGTGAGTGCTGGAAATTGGGTCCTGGGGCTCCATGGGGCAGCCAGAACTGTCTGGCTGCACCAGAGGAGGCCATGGAGAGGACCATGCACCTGAGTGCCAAAGGTGGGTGCCGTGCAATTTTCTAAAGAGGCAGGATGCTGATCTAGAGATGGAAAAACCACATCAAGCTAGAATCTACCTCTGCGGAGAAGGAAAAACGTGAGTGGAGAGCTGGAACCCTATGTGCTCACTGAGACCAGTTCACACTGTGCTAGGAGCACCGTGGAGACAGGTGATTCAAAGTCAAGCTGAAGCCACGGCCGCCAGTAACGGGAATTGTTGAGTCCTGAGCCCTTGGTGGGAGGACGCAGTGCAGTGTGGACTGGAGCCAAGATGGAGAACTGCATTGATTCCCGGTGAGTTCTGGGGATTGGGTGCCGAAGCTGCTGCCGCTGGCTGGAGGATATCTTGGAGTTGAGCAGAGCCTGGCACTGCAGTGGCATTAGTTGGCCGCCCCTGGCACAGAAAGGACTGGTGGGCTCTGCTGGGACTGAGCTACACCTCTGGTTGGGACCAAGTAGCCAGGGACAAAAAGGTCATGACTCTGTGACGTCCACAGGGTACAGCTAAGTCCCTGAAGGAAATTGCAAGTTGACTGGCTCAGAGGCTAGAAGCTAGCCTGCACGATCCCTGTGTCCCTGTGTGAACCTCACAGCAAATTGGGGAGGGCAGCAAAACCCCAGTCAGCATGCTTCAGAAAGACTCTAAGCAATATGGAGAGGGCCAGAGACCCCCAGGACACACCTGTCTGAAAGAAACCAGAAACATGACAAGATACAGAAATTTAAAAAAACCTCCAGCTGCTGACCCTGGGAAAATAAGCCCAGGAGAGGGAAATACAGAAGAAAACCAGTGCAGTGATCATGCAATATTAGACACAGCATCAGTGGACATAAAGAAATACCTTCGTGACCTCATAGACAAATTTAAAACTGTACTTCTGGTCCAAGTGAGGCAAGATGTAAAAACATTAATTAAAGAAATGATAAGCCCCTTCCAAGAGGACACAGACGGAAAAACAGAGGAACTCAGAAAAGGAAGAGAAACCTTTGATGAAGAATATAAAAAAAATCTAGAATACATGAAACAGATCCAAAGAGATTACCAGGAAACTAAAAACTCCATTGAAAGCTGGCAAAATGCCTTGACAGAAGCTAAACTTAGTCTTTTGAAACTTCAAGAGAGATTTATGATGTGTGATTATGAAAGAAAAGATCTTTTAAAAATAACAAGGAACCAGGAAAAATTCAATTCAAAGGCTAGAAGACGACAAGGGGTTTATAACTTAAGAATAAAAAATGTGAGTAAAGAAGCAGGAGTAATCACAAGTGAGCTACAAAGACTAATCACGAATATAATTAAGGAAAACTTCCCAAGCGTGGGAAAAAGAAATGATATCCAGATAAATGAGGCATACTGAACTCCAGCCACTTACAACCAAAATAGATCTACACCCAGACAAATAATAATCAAGATTCCATAAATCCACCACAAGAACAGAACATTAAAAGTGGCCAGAGAAAAGCAGATCACCTACAAAGGACAAATCATCAAAATAACAACAGACGTATCCACACAAACTCTCAAGTCAAGAAGAGCCTGGAGGGAAATAGTCCAAGACCTGAAAGAAAATAACCTCCAACCAAGACTGATGTACTCTGAAAATCTTTCTCTCAAAATTAATGGAGAAAGAAAATATTTCCAAGACAAGGAGGAACTGTGGGAGTTCATGGCCACCAATCCAATGCTACAAAAAATACTGAAGGACATGAGAGAGAGAGAGAGAGAGAGAGAGAGAGAGAGAGAGAGAGAGAGAAATACCAGGATTCCAGTAACAGTGGTAGAGAGGCCTCAATGAATGGGGCACACAGTGGAATGAAGGAGAAAAGTGGACAAAAAACAGCAGAAGAATAGAATAGCAGAGATGAGGCAGAGACGGCAAGCTATAATCTTTAATATAGATAGCCTTGATACACTAACAAAAAAGAAACAGGCAGAATAGATTAGGAGGCAGGATCCATCAAGATGCTCTGAATAAGAAATATACTCAACCTGAAAGAGGGTTAATAAACTGACAAAGATGAGAAAACAATGCTATATGTGACAGGAAACCAGAGAGAAATAGGGACAACTTGTCTAGCAGCTGCAGATAGGTTGGAAAGTTATGACACTTTTGTGCAGTATAGAACTACACAGCTGGAAGGAAGGGAAACCTGTGGCTTTAGTAGGGTTTTTTGTGTACTGCTCAGGCTGTTTAGAAGTGAGTGGTAGCCCATGTAATTGGCACCTACAAATGTGTTTAATACTCTCTTTCCCATGCAAGACATCAGGTGGAATTGCTTTTTGAACCTGGGGCCTGGCACTTTTCGTGTGGTTAGCCTCCCATTAGTAGACATTACCCCCGCCCCATATATTATTCAGCATCTTGGGCAAAACAGGCTAACTTAGGGTCTGTCAGAGGGGTGGCTCTGGAATGAGAGCTATAGCTATGCCCTCCCCCTTTGGCAGGTTGTCATAGAGGCCCAGTTTGATTCCCTGTCTGTCCTTTGATTTTCTCTGGCTTCCATTGTTTTGATCCTCTGTTGTCCTCTGTAGTGTGTGATAGCCACTTTCCTTGTGGCCCATAGAGCATCTAGGGGCTGTAAAGTTGTTTGCACTTGTCCCCCCCCCCCCCAGCATCAGAAACCCTCTTTTTTGTATTTGGAGTCAATATAAATGTTTACTTTTCTCTCTTTTTTCAACAAAATAGCCCTTGTCAAGGGTATTAGTTCTGCCTTCTGGGCTGAGACTCTGGTAAGCATAGGCTGGGCTTCTACCACAGCATTGAGTCACCATTGTATATCCTGCTTGTTGAACCTCTTTTAGGTTCATATAGGTTTTAGGTTACAGTCATATAATCATCAAGGAGGGGCTTCCAGTTTTACTGGCAGCAAAGTACCTGGGTCAAGATTGTTTATTTTTTTTAGAGTTATGTGACGATTTTCACATAAGAGCCCCTGATACAGAGTCAGATTCAGGTTTGACAATGAATGGTGTCTTCTCTGGTCCATTAATATTATAACTGAATGTGGTACTCTTTTTTTTTTTTTTTGTCTTTTTTGAGACAGCGTCTCGCTGTGCAGTTCAGGCTGGCCTTGAGCTCACTTTGTAGCCCAGGCTGGCCTCGAACTCACAACGATCCTGCCACCTCAGCCTCCCGAGTGCTGGGATTACAGGCATGAACCACCACACCTGGCTTGTGTGTGGTACTCTTAATAGGCGGTTTTTGTCTCAAGGTCAGTTTGTTAGCTTTCTGCATCAGCAGGGCAGTGGCTGCATGTGTCCTTAAGCGTGGAGGCCATTCGAGGGACACAGAGTTAGTGTTCTGACAAGTGTGTTGTCAAACAGTGTCAGGATCTCATGACCTGGGTTAAGACTTGTATGGCTATACTTTTGTTATGGATGTATAGGAAGGAAGGCTTGGTTGTATCTGACAGTCCTAAGGCTGGGACCTGAGGCAGGGCCTGTTCAATTTGTTTAAATTTCTCCTGATCAGAGCCTTTTCTCTCCCCTGTGTGGTGGCTTGTCTGAATTCAGTAAGTATTTTTTTTTGGTTTTCGCTTTGACCTGTGTCAAGTTCTGTGTGGTCTCTCCTCTGCTTGTAGCCATGGCTCAGTGTCTCACTGACACTCTGGTTTCCATTCAGCATTTTCATGAACCAGTTTAGCTTTTGTCTGCTGCTGTGCCTATCTCTTTGTTTTCTTTCCTAGCTGGGCCATTGTTATGTGGTCTTTGGGTGTGGTGAGCTATAGCTGTGTAGTCTTTTTTGTAAAGGAGACACAGTTGTGTTGTAGCTTTGTCTCAGTGTTACACTGTGATGTCTTCAGCATTACCCATACTTGGGGTGTGCATGTGTGTGTGAACACAACAGGCAAGTCTGTCTCCTTGGTTTGTAGTTGCAGTTCCTCCGGTATCTGTAGAGTTTGTTTGTTGAGTTGCCTCAGCTTTAGCTTTCATGCACAGGAACAGTTTGTCTTTTTGACACTTGTACTGAACCTCCTAGCATTTGTTTCTACAAGTGCTTAGTTTCTTCTTGTGGCTTTTGCTTTTGGGTTTTGATCTCCTTTGTCCACGTGGGTGGTTCCTGTAGTTCATGCTTAGTCCAACCATGTGGCCACTGAGTTATCTCCAGCTGTAGGCTTACCATATTGATCTCCTTCTTGATGTGGACCTGTTGCATTTGGTTGTTTCCAGTCACCAAACACTGCTGCAAATATTGTAGCTCTTTCTAGATCCTGTGTTTTTGTGACTACTGTTCTTTCCTGTTGTGCTATCTCCTCTTGTATGTGCTGTTGTATTTGAGTCTTTAGTTCCATTTGTACCTTGGTTTGGGGATGTGCTTCTGTCACCTGTTCCAGTGCCTGTTTTTTTTTTTTTTCCATGTGTCTGCCAACCTGTTGCCTTACGTTTGGGATATTTGAACCTCCTGGCTGCTTCAGTGGCTCACTGAGTTGCCTCTGTCTCATCATGTAGTCTTTGGACCATGCTGATTTATTTTTTCCTTTGTAGTGGCTTCTGGAAAGCCTTTTGGGTCAGCTGTAGCTGTTTTCCTTGTTCTGTTTTCCCCTGCTGGCAT